CTTCAAAATATGAGAGTATATTGGTAGTAAATTAACCTTTGGATCAATGTTGTTGGCATCATTAGTGTTTGGTGTCATTCCAGCTAGTGCAGCACCACTAATTTTAAGAACTACCCTTCTCCACCTTGGACTCATAGAAGATTTCGCCTTCACAATCTGTCCGCTGGGACTAGGCACCGCTGTTCCATATCTGAAGAAGGTTAGGAGGAACAGAAATCTTAGATAATCCGCCAAACAGGAAGAAGAACACTTCAAAGTATTTTATATGCAGATTTTCACTAGAATACGACAAGGTTAGCAAATAGCTGCTACATCAAAAAAAGAAAAGACAAGGAACTCCAATTTATGCTAAAACTGATACACATTTAACTGATTAGTTCTCTATAAGGGACAACTCGAAAAGTAATTAATCCGTTCTAAAAGACAATTGAAGATTTAGAATTTTCCTACCAAATTAGAACACAAAATTCACATCTTAATAAAATGAATCACATAAGGACTATAGCTCACTAAAAGCAAGAAAGATAACGACTTAGATAAGCAGTTCCCTGTGTATTGACAAAATAACTCATTCGTTAACCATATACAAAGATTCATCTTTTTTTCCAGCACAAGTTCATGTGATCCTTGTAGCAGAAAAATTAGTCTAAAAATGAAAAAAAAAAACAGAGAAATTTCATTTCACCAATGTCGTATCAACCTTGATTTACATCGAACATCAATATTTTGAGGCCATATCGGTTATATGAATCATTTGTATCCATTCTACTAAATAAATCAACATTTTTATTAGATGCAAACAACAACAACAACTGCACCACAGTCCCAAACAAGTTAAGGTCGGCTATATGAATCCCCACTCCAACATTTAAGCTCATTTCACGTCATCATCGTACTAAATATTTTTATGTCAAACCCCAACAGTACTCGATAAATTAAGGATTTTTATTAAAGGCAAACAACAACTACTACGGCTCAGTCCCAAACAAGTTAACGTCAGCTATTGAATCCCCACTTCCCATTTAAGCTCATTTCATATCGTTATCATACCAAAGGTATTACCTTTTCGATTGCCTGCCAGTGCTGGAGTTGTTCACTGGAACAATGGCTTTGTCTTCCTCAGATGTAGCTTTTACTGATACCGAATTCCCAACAATCTGTTCCATTTGCTTGAACCATGGCCAATGACTAATCGTTAAGCCGCCGTTACTCATCCGATGCCTCTCCAATTTATACCTCTTCTTCAAATTATCAACTTTGTTCTTACACTGTTCTACACTCTTCGATTGCTTCTCGCATCTTTCACTCACCATCGCCGCGACTTCTTCCCAATCTCTCCCTCTCAAATTCCCTCTATTCAATTGCACAAATTTCTCCATATACGCCTCCAATAAACACGCTATCGCCGTGTCACTCCATTCTTCTCTATCCTTCCGGTACTCTCCGCTGCCACTACCGGAGGATGAGCTGATTTTCGATCTCTTATAACTATACGGTGTCCCGTTATCACCGATATCTTCCCGATCGGCTCGTTTGTCGTTTGATAATTTACCTCTCGATCTATTAACATTGGTGTCGTTCTCAAACGGAATTGAATCGTTCTCGTAGGGGTTCACTCCGATATGATACGACTGCGCGTTATTATCGCTGTATCCGTCACCGTCCTCGTCATCGCCGGAAATGTTCTTCGGACTACCGGCGGAGATCGGCGGGGGATGGATTTGCACAGGCTTGTACCGGACGGAGGAGAAAGGTTGGTGGTGGTAAGTAGGGTTTGCGGTGGTGGTGGTGGGAGTGACGGCGACGGCGGCGTTATCGTCACCGAGGAGAGAGAAATCGTCGTCACAAGAAGCCATGAGACGACGTACGTTAGGGCTTGGGAAACGGAGAGAATAGACGACGTGAAAGGTAACGTTTGTGAGGTTCACCGTTAATGCAATGCATTCCTTTGAACCGTTACAAATGTTGAGAGTCCGTTAGGTAAGTGAGTTATTGCCAACTTACAAATTTCATATCGTAAAGGTAGGTCGAAGAAGTACTAGTGAGATCGATATGGTTTAGCTTGCTTATTAAAAAGATGATTCTAGATAGAAAGTTAGTATTGGTATGGCAGGTTAGTAGATGGTAGAGTGTGGTCGGGATTATCCTTTTATACTGGTTGAGTTGCGTATCGATCGGTTTGGTTCTGAAGTCTAACGGTTTGACTTATCAGTTATCTGTTTGTAGACATACTAAACCGTTATAGAACCATTAAGATATTGATCTATCGATTATGATATTTATCGATTTAACCGTTAAGATATGACATAAGAAAAATTATGAAATTTCACTTAGAAATAAAGTGATAAACCAAATGAACAATGCACATGAGTTGATAGATTGCATTTGCTCAAAAGCAAACACTAACATATTGTAAAATAACAGAGAGTTTGACTCAACCAGAAATAAAATATGAAACAAAACTCTTAGTCAAGAACTTTATATACCCAATGATATAAATGTAATCTATTGATTTACTATCGAGTCGTCGGTTAACCCGTTAAGAAAAAACCCAAACCTTTAAGAATCGATAATCGAATAAAAAAATTAAAATCATTGTTGCAACCGCTAAACCAATAATCCATTATCAATAAATCAATAACTTTTTTTATAGTTTAGGTCATCGATTTTGAACATCCTTACATACTAGTAGTCGTAATATTATTCTACAGGTAAGAAACTATTTACCTTATGAAATATATTACATTGAGTATGTTATTAATTATTACATTTGATGGATTAAAACATTTAAATTATATTTTCTCTAGGAAGAAAAAAGTTTTTCAAAATGAAGAGAAAGGTCTTCTTGTGAAAGTAGCAAAACAAATTCTACAAATAATACAACACAATTATTATCTTATCTTAACCCTCTAATACACATCACACCCACTTCACCACACCCATAATCCACTCATATAATCTATTAAAATGATTTATCTAAGATTATATATAATGTATTTGAGACAGAGTCACAAAACTATAGTGCTCATTAGCAAAAAAGTTATGTACATTTTATCGGTTCAATTCGATTTCGAAGTTTATCAATTTGACTTATCGATTTGTAGACATGCTAAATTGTTATAGAATCATTAAAAGATTATCGGTTATTGGTGTATCGATTATTGATTGTTGTTGATTTAACCGTTAAGATTTGACACAAAAAAAATATTAAAAATCACTTGGAAATAAGGTGACAAACCAAATGAACCATACTTATGACTTGACAGATTGCATCAAAAGCAAACACTGTCACATAGTAGAATAACTGGAGTTTGAGACAATAAAAAATAAAAGTATGAAACTAAACTCTATATACCAAATGTTATGAATATGATTATTTAATTTACTATCGGATTATCAAATAACCCGTTAAGAAATTAAAGAACCTTAAACCGTTAAGAACTGATAACCCGATAATAAAAAAAATCAAATCATTAAATCAATTATCCATTATCAATAAACCAAGATTCTTTTTTCGATTCAAATTATCGATTTTGGTTCGATTTTGAATAGTCCTACACTTCACTAAACATTCAACATGACAACATGGAATCTTAGGGCCTAAATCGCCAAACTTGAATTATGAATTACTAAAGAAATTCACCCTTAAGATTAGCTCCGTTATAATTACCCAAGTAGATATAGGGTGTATTCAATATGAAAGAATTTTTTTTTCATGTGTTTGGTAGGTATGAAAAATATTATCCTATAATTGTGGTCAGAATCATTGAGTAGGTGATTTTGCTTTTGGAGTAAAATTTCAGCATTTATGGATTAATCAGATGCATTAATTTAATTAAAAAAAAACAAAGTGCCATACTGCCATAGCCCATGGAATTTGACATTTTGATAATTGATCAATGTGAAAAAAAATAAGTTAAATAAAAGGGGCCTATATTATTTCTTACACTTTTAGCTCTTAGACTTTCAACTCAACAATATGATGTTGTAGTGTTAGACATGTTTAGATATTTTTTGAAATATTATCATAAAGATAGTTTCTATATGATTAATTACGAGAATTTCAATAGCATGTTTTAAAGTTTTGCGTCAATTTCTGACCTTGAATTTTGATAAATGTTATTTTACTACTTATATTTTTATAAATTGACACATTTAACTTCATGTGGTATACATATTGAAAGAGGATTAAGAACAACCATCTCAATTCTTATTGCTTTTCTTCGTATTATCATTCTTTATACCATAGTTTTACCTCAGAACATATAGTAATTTATCCATTTTATTGTGTCTATATCTTAATTTAATGGAACACGAAATTAAAAGAAAAAATTATTATTTAACCATCTTGAATTAAAAAGGTATATAATATACTAATATATTTTAAATCTTATGATATTAAATATATCATGTCAATATACCAGAGTATTAACAAAAAAACATTAATGATAAAATTTTCCGACAATCAAAATTCATAAAAATGATCATTATATATTAACCATACACAACCATCAATCTTAGAACGTTGCTTTCATCGTCTCAACAAGTCAATAGCTATTTAATCCAAATCTTTTTAAAATATTTCTTTTGTGGATAGGTTTAAAACATCTCCAAAAATTTGATTTTATAATTCTTTAATAGGGTAAGCAAGTAATCAATAAAATATACTGAGAATAATGAGATTATACGTTCAATCTTTGATGGAGGCAAAGTACATTAGACAATTTCTTTCATATGTACAAGTATTGTTGGATATTGTTGTTCGATACCTATGCTGATACCTCGTGAAATTAGTCTGAGATATACACCAATTTGCTCAAATGCCATGATTATAAGAAAAACATTATTCTCATGAGAACAAATCACATGATTATATATATTAAAAAAATATTATACATTGTCACGTGCATAACCCACCAAAAAACTATACTACCAAACTATTCAGTTTTGCGCTTTCTGTGATCTCTTCTTTCTCTATAAAAATAAAAAAACTTCTCATTTTTTTTCTTTCTTCTTCAGAAAAACTGATTCAATTTGTTAATTTTTCACTAACAAAACCATGCATTCAAATCATTTACTTCTTGAAGAACCCATCAGAATGGCTTCCATTTTGGAGCCATCCAAAGCTGTAAGTTTCCCAAAAACAAAACCATTTTTTTCATACTTTAGATCTGTATTTTTTTCATATGATTTGTGTATTTATGGTGATAATGACTGATGGGGTTTGTTTAATTGTTAAAATCTTGGCAGGGTTTTTTTCCTGCAATGACGAAGATTGTTGGAACATTGGGTGCAAAATCTCGATCCGTTGAGGTTCTTTCAGCATGTCTTAAAGCTGGAATGTCAGGTATTAATATCTTGAAAAATTTCAGTTTTTTTTTTTTGGAAATGTTGTGATGAATGGCTAAAAGGGTTTGTTTTGATTGTTATTTTTGTTGGATTTGTAGTGGCAAGATTTGATTTTTCATTGGGTGATACTAAGTATCATCAGGAGACATTGGAGAATTTGAAGAGTGCTATTAAGAGCACTAAGAAGCTATGTTCTGTATGTATTATATTGTATTGTATCGACTGTATTATTTTGATGAATACAATGTTTGGTTAGATTGTATTGGTTTCCGTTGTTGCATAACTCTTTCGGTCACTCAGTTATATTTTGATTGTAGTCGTTGTGATATTCGACAAAGCACATTTAACCTTCAACTAATAGAAATTTGTGCCTCTTGATCCTTTACGTAGGAAATATGTTGTGTTTTGAATATATTTAGAACTATATTATTGTTGAGTATGGAGTAATAGTACAAGATTATCATGGGAAATGGGTAATCATAGGTGGAACAATTTGGAATCATTGATAAATTTGTGAATATTCACAAGCAAAGGGATCAAAAGTGCACGTTTCAATTCATTAGAAGTCAAATGTGTTTAGTCAGATGTCACAAGGAGTAAAATTAATATTTATCACCAACAAAGGTGATAAAAGTGCTATTAACCCTTTTAAAATAAGTACTGTGTATGTAGAAACTATATAAGATGTTCTATAAATCACAAGTTTTGGTTGTTAAAATATATTTGAAAACTGTTAACTGTGGATACTTAAAGTGGACTCGTCAAATAGTTGTAGCGTTGTTAGTTTTGAGTTAAAGGGAGTATTATCTTGCATTTGTGAACAATTAAATGGATAAATTGTAGAGCATATAATTTCCTTCCACATTTTGCGTAGCCTCTATTTACGGATTTAGTTACGACTATGTCATTGCATCTGTTGAGCATTGTCCAGTAACTTGACAAGGGTATTAAGACTATTTTTGTTTTCATTTTGTCAGGTCATGCTAGATACTGCAGGTCCGGAGCTAACAGTTCTTAACAAGAGTGAGAAACCTATTTCACTTGAGGCAGATGCAACTATTACTCTTACACCTGATGAAGGCCAGGAAGCATCTTCTGAAGTGTTTCCAATCAATTTTGGTGGATTATCCAAGGTTCAATTAGTTCCCTTCGTCTTTGCTTTGCATTTTCCTCTGCAGTGCGTTTTGTTAACCAAAAACTGTTTCCAATGGAAGTGAAAAGAGCAAATTCAATCTGAATTTGATGGAGAGAATATCATCAATATTGTCGATTAGGAGGGGTGAATGTCCTTCATGATACTAAATTATGGTGTTAATTTTTTCTTGCAGGCAGTGAAGAAGGGAGACACCATTTTTATTGGCCAATACCTCTTCACAGGAAGTGAAACGACGTCTGTGTGGCTGGAGGTATAACATTAGAAAGCCTCCTTATATCCCCAGCCACCCTATGTTTTCTTAATCCGTTGTGTTTAGCTACTGCTGTTTATGTTTAAGTTGATCGATGAGTAGATTTTGCAATGTGTTTGCAACTGCACAATTATGAATTTTTTTGACAAAGACAGGTACTCCCTCTATTTCAATTTGCTTGTCTGGTTTTGACTTGACACGGAGTTTAAGAGAGTAAAAAAGACTTTTAAAGCTAAAGATATGTTGAATGTAAATAATTTAATGTTAAAAAAAAAAGATATGTTGAATGTACCAAAATGTCCTTTAATTTTGTCATCTTAACCATCTCATGTGGAATGTTGGAAATAAAAAAATTGCCAAAAAGGGAAAGAGGCATTCTTTTATTAAACAAACTAAAAAGGATAATAAGACAAACTAATTAAAACAAAAGGATTAATACATTTCTACTGCTCCAGTAAGAAAGCAGTTTAAGGTTGTTTGAATCCGCTGATTAAGAATTCCAAATGTCGTTGCACAGGTAGATCAAGTGAAAGGGGATGATGTAGTTTGCATTGTAAAGAACTCTGCCACGTTAACTGGGTCATTGTTCACTCTGCATGCTGCTCAGATTCATATTGATTTACCTACTCTCTCAGATAAAGATAAGAAGGTAAGTTACTCAAACTTCCTAGAACCGATAAAAATCATCCTGTTCATTATGTGTGCAAATAGTGAAGTTCATGTTACAAGCTCACATGGTTATGGAAAAATTTCTGTGAGAACTTTGTGGTTGAGTAAATATGGCTGTTTATTCTTGAGGATTTGAGCTGAGGCTCTATCTGAAATAGCCTCTCTACCTCCAGAAGGTAGGAAGACTGTGTACATACTATCCCCCCCCCCCTAACCCCACTTAAGGGATTACACGGGATATGTTGTTATTGTTGTTGTTATTCTTGGGGACTTGGGCACTTAATAGAAGTGTTAAAATTTACTTATCTATTTGATAGAAATTGTAATTAGGCTTTGTGTGTATGCATCAGATGAGTCTTAAGATGGATGTGGTTTTGTTTAGTTATGTAAGCATGGATTGGTGGGACCTACTCATATTCTCTTCTTCTCATCTTTCCACTTTCTGTAGCAATATCTTGGAAATCGGCTTTTATTTTAAGCACCATCAACAATATTTATTCTCATCCGATATTCAATATCAACATTGACTATCTTGCTTGTGCCAAAATTATGTCCTTTCTCTTGATATTTGAAGTTTTAACTTGTATTACACTCAAAGAGTTTCAAGGGTTCCTCTATTATCTTTGGTACTTGTAATATTGGCTAATTACTATACTACTTTAATGTTAATGCAAGCATATTAGTTTTGAATTATAGTGATTATCCCTCCCTCAAACTACTTATCTCTCTGTCGTCTGCCTCTTTAATGGTTTGACTTTGTGCAGCAATCCTTTTTGATTTTTTGTGGTGCTCTTGGCATGCTAATTGAATCAGGTTATTAGCACATGGGGAGTCCAAAACAAAATTGATTTTCTTTCATTATCATTTACCAGGCATGCTAAGGATGTTCGTGAGGTAATGATTGCACTGTCTTCTTTTTTGTTTATGTATTTTCTTGATTCAATTAACTACATTGATGGTCTTCATAATGCTACATTTAATAGTTAGTGTTGTATTGAGTGTTCATGTTTTTCATTTATATTTAGATCTGTTACACGCCCCTGCTCATGTTTGATTCTGTCTTCTAATGGCCAAGTACGTGAATATTTCTGCTTTATGAGTGGTGAGGCTTGAATCTAAGACTTTTGGACCTTTGTCTTCTTTAGTACCATACGTGGTTTGTGTGAGCACCTCGTCTAAAAGTTAAACCGTTGAGAGGGGACAACATTATTTATTTATTCATTTAGGTTTATAACAGCTTGAATACCAAATCAACCTCATTGGATCTTTATTCTTTCATAAATTCAGGCACGTGAATTCTTATGTAAGCTGGGTGATCTAAGCCAAACTCTGATCTTTGCCAAAATTGAAAACGAAGAGGTTAGTTGGTAAACTGTTATTTTCTGTCTGATCTTTTTCATTTGGATAGTTCTTTGTGAGATCGGTATTGAATATGATAAATTGTCAGGCTTGCAATTTACTTCTTTCCGTGGTGATTTACGTAGGGCTTGACACATTTTGATGATATACTTCAAGAGGCTGATGGGATCATCCTTTCTCGTGGAAACCTTGGTATAGATCTCCCACCTGAGAAGGTAAGTTTGATTCTGTTAATTTTTCTTCTCTTTTTTTCTTACAACCTCTCTACCTTCCAAGTTAGGGTAAGATCTAAGTACATTCTACCCTCCCCAAACCCCACTTGTTTGATTACACGGGTATGTTGTTTTGTTGGTAATCCCACATTTTATCCCGGGATTATTATCTTTATCCACCAACCAAACCCCAGTGGTTCAGCTTTTGGGGGGTGCAATGGATCCATTTAGCAATTTAATTGAGTGATATGGAGGCAAACGCTCCAATCTCTCCTGTTAACTTATCATCGTTGCAAAATACTGAATGGTATTATAATCATCATTTCTTTGTAGGATCATCATTCAACTAATTTTTGAGTGGTACGCAGGTGTTCTTGTTCCAGAAGGCAGCTGTTTACAAGTGTAACATGGCTGGCAAGCCTGCTGTAGTAACACGTGTTGTTGATAGTATGACTGACAATCTTAGGCCAACTCGTGCCGAAGCAACAGATGTTGCTAATGCTGTCTTGGATGGTAATCTTGCTGCCCATCTTAGTGGTTCTACTGTCCCTTATTGCCTCTGAAGATTTCAGTTCCTTTTGTCATCCTTCATATGATGTCTTGTTAGTTTGTTTCTGGTAGGAGCTTTTGACATTTAACGTTTGTGCAGGTACTGATGCAATTCTTCTTGGTGCTGAAACTCTACGTGGATTATACCCAATTGAGACTATTTCAACTGTTGGAAGAATTTGTGCTGAGGTGATTTTCATTTTTTTCCTTAACCTTTGTGTGAAATAAGAGGATCTGTGTGCAATATTACAGTTTACTCTTTTGGCAATATTTTCCACGTTAAGTACATTCTACAATGTTTTCCATTTGAACACCTTTTTACCTGCCAAGGCATCAGTAGTTGGTTTATTCTATGATATATTAAGGGACATTTTCTCAGTTAGGTCTACTCTTGTCAAATACACGGCGTAGTAGTTATCTTCAGGATCAGATTATGGGATGAGGGATACTGTTATGATCCTATTACAATGTACGGGACTTTCGTCCCACATAGGTTTAATGGGGAGCTGATGTGGGGCTTATATGGCTTTGGGCTCTCCCACCTCAATAGCTAGTTTTTGGGTATCAGAGGCACCCACTGCCCTACGTGCTCGGCGTGCCTTGGATGGTGACACCGGTATTACAGTGTTAGCCCAGGGCTAGAAATGGTCTAGCGCATAGCCATCAAGGACAATGGCTGCTGAGCATGATGGTTTGTTATGATCCTATTATAAAGTATGGGACTTGAGTCCCACACCGGTTTAATGGGGAGCTGATGTGGGGCCTATATAGCCTTGGGCTCTTCCACCTCAATGGCTAGCTTTTGGGGTGTGGTTCTCCCTAAATTGTATCAGATACTCTAAGTCCCTACCCTCTCGTAGTGTTTACCACCTTCCGGTTTTTTTTCCAGAGAGTATAGGGAGTAGCCCTAGTTAACAATTAATTTCCTTGCAGGCAGAGAAGGTCTTTAACCAAGATCTATACTTCAAGAGAACAGTCAAATTTGTTGGGGAGCCTATGTCACACCTGGAATCAATTGCGTCCTCTGCGGTATTCTTTTGGACATAAATCCGTTTCTTGAAATGATAAGAGAGAATTCCAGAAATTTAATTGATTTCTTCATTTGCGTACAAGTTTTACAGATATGACTATTTATTTACTTGCCGTTTAGGTCCGGGCAGCAATTAAGGTGAAAGCATCAGTAATTATTTGTTTCACTTCATCTGGAAGGGCAGCACGGTAATCTCTCTGTTCTTACAAAAATTCTTAGAATTTTTACTATATCTTTATTATTAAGAGCTGTAAATGGTACCTTTACGTGCTCAGATTGATAGCCAAATATAGGCCAACAATGCCAGTATTGTCTGTTGTAATTCCTCGACTGAAGACGAATCAATTGAAGTGGAGCTTTACCGGCGCATTTGAGGTATACCCTTATTATTATCTGTTCAAGAATCAAATCCAGTTCATGATGTTCTGACCTTTTTAATGCATTTGATTGAGAAGGACTATTATGTTCCTCACAGAACATAGCTTATCCAATACTTCTTCACTTCCTTATTACCTATTATCGGTCAAATTTTATGATGCCCCACCTAGTGGGATTTCACTGGGTATGTTGTTGTTGTTGTTGGTCAAATTTTATGATGGAATGATTTCTACTCAACCCCAACACAAAATCCTTAAGATAATAATAGAGAAGGTAATCCTATCAGTTTTGGTCTCAAGTAACGACTAAAGCCATGATAGTGTGTGAGAACTGGATTATAGTTATTTTTAATTTTGCTAATATCACAGTGACTCTTGTTACTCTTACTTTCATATGCATCCCGTTTCTTGCTGGTCAATTTGTTTGCTCAATTATTGCTATAGATTTTTTAACGTGTGATTTATCAGTCAGACTAACGAGATCTTAGAGTTGCAATATCGAGTATCAGAGGCCCTCCATAATTTCCTTGGTCATTTATTTCCATTTCCACTGTTAATAGGATGATCTCTTAGTGTGTCCTTTCACCTTCTTCCGTTTGCCTGCAGTTCTCATTGCTTCCGAACAATTTAGTAGGATTTCGGGCAATATTTGAGTTTAAGTTGTTCCTTTTATTTCATTGACATTGAAGCTGACAGGTTTAAATTTTTTTAACTTCTCCATGTTTAGGCAAGGCAGTCTCTTATTGTGAGGGGTCTTTTCCCAATGCTTGCTGATCCTCGACATCCTGTAAGTCTCATCGTCTCGGTGTTCCATATTTTCTGTTTGCATCACTTTGTATTTATTTAGTTTATTTCACCTCACAACAATAATATTCACTCATATTTTGATATCTTGGAATAGTTGTTCTTTTAGCTATCTTTAGGCTGTATGGAAGTGTTTTTCAGCTATAAAATTAGACAGATAAAAGAATCTCTAGACTTTCTTAGTACTCTTTTATTGCAATTATTACCAACGGCAGGGTATGAATTCTGAACTTGCCACCGAACTCATAGCTCATTTTGGTTATTGGATTCACAATTTCCTGATACAAATACGGGATTTAAACAACTTCTTGGTTCATCCAAACCTGTACTTATACTATAGCTTCGCCCCTGAATCTTGATTATACCTTCTTTTTTCCCCTGAGCTGAATCTCAATCTTACTTTACTCTTTCCATAGGCTGAGTCTACGAATGCATCAAACGAGTCTGTGCTGAAAGTTGCCCTCGATCACGGGAAGGCCTCAGGAGTTGTGAAGTCCCATGACCGAGTTGTCATCTGCCAGAAAGTTGGAGACGCATCGGTGGTTAAGATTATTGAACTTGAAGGATAAGTTATCCTCATTTTTTTTGGATGTGATGGTAGAGTGTTAAAGTCATCACAAGTTGAGGTTCTAATCTAAGGCTTTGGTAGCTACAATATGTGATATCCTATAGTTAGTATATTGTGGACATTTCTTGTGGTCAGAACTTGCAATAGTTGAGAAAATTTCGGGAGGCAGGTATCTCGTGAAAGTAGTCGAGGTGCATGCAAGCTGGTCCCGACATCACGATTATAAAAAAAAAGAAAAAAGAAAGAGAAGTATGGTGTCTCTTATCTAGTTTAGGTATATGAGTCTTGTTTATTTTTCTTCATGGTGTTATGGAGATGTCCATAAGAAGTTATTTTGTTATTTTATTACCACTCAGATATTAATAATAAAAAATCTTGAAGTATGTTTTCACAAGTCTTTTGTCTGTTTTAAGATTTATATGTCAGCAGAAACTATAAACGAAATCAAAATTACTGAATATTAAAAATGAAACTATTTCAAAGGAGAGGTGGATTCAGAATTTTCAATAAATATATAGGGTTGGATTATTAAAGTTATTGAATTATGTCGAACTTGTACTTTCCACGTGAGTTTTGCCCTTATCCCAAATAGAGTTATTAATGAGTATCAAACAATGTTTGGTTTTAAATATGTCGTGACATTTGTGTGATAATAAAATAATATAGTTAAAGGTAAAATGAAAAGTTTTAAGTTCCGAAATATTTTAAAATATAAAAGCATATCACTACTAAAAAATGTAGAGAACTTCTAGCGTTAGGAAAATTACAATTGTATAATAATAAATTACGACAGGCTTAAATAAAATGACAAGGACAACGAAAAATTGGACAGATGATCTAAATGACTAAACTAACAAACGGGTGTATCACCAATAAGGGTTGTGATGGAATGGATAAGATCTCTCCACCTTTAATCAGAAGTCTTAAATTCAAATTCTGTATATAGAGCCAATTCTATTTGGGAACGCTTCTTCTTCATAAGCTTACATAATATTAATCCGGAATAAGTGGGCTCTAATACAAGTATAGTACATCGAATGAAAAAAAAAATGGATGTGTGATGTTTGATTATAAATGTTGTAAGTTACATAAAATACCAACCATAACATAATCAACAGGCGCCCATGGCCTAATGGATAAGGCGCTTGACTTCTAATCAAGCGATTGTGGGTTCGAGTCCCACTGGGCGTGTATCTGTTTTCCTTTTTTTTTTTTTACAAAAAAATTATTTCCATTTTTTATCTTCTTTTTTTAAAATAAAAAATTACTAACAATACTAATTTTTGTTTGATAGTCAAAATTCAATCTTTATAATATTTTAGTTATTTGTTCATTAATATGTTTGATGACTAATACAAACCCCTCTTCAATTCTTCTTTATTTGGTGTCATTGGTGATAGCAAGAACCAACAATTTTGTCACCCCAAAAATGAAAACAAATGAAGATAAATGCAAAATTAAGAAAAGTATGATTCATATATAGTATAAATCTATGTTGCTCGAACTTTTCCAGAATTATTGCCATACCAGTATTGACTAGGCACCTACTTTTATACCCCTAAACACTATAAAATAATCCTCCAAGGTAAAAAAGAAAAACATTCCACAAAAATGAACTATATTTATTCGTTATAACAGTAAAGTCATGTAACTATCACTACAATAAAAACAGTTTTTAACGGCAATAAATATACACATTAATAAAGAGTGCTAAAAATTTTTTCGACATTAGTTAATTACCATTGGATCCTATGTCGCTATAGGCTAGAAACATTTGCAAAAGAGTGTGTTAATCACTGTTAAAAATACATATTTAGTGACAATTAAATTATTACCGCTAATTTTTTCTTTTGATATAGTGTGTTTATTTTCACATAACACTACCATATATGTTTCTTCCCCTATGTCAAAACATTGTTTAATGACTAAGGAGAGTATATCATTGCAATAAAAAATGAGAATATTGAAACCATCGAGTATATTAGTCATGGGATATGATTTCTACATGTCTAGATTAAAACTTGCAGATGAAAAGTTCAATTGACTAAGAAATTCTTCAGATTTAGTCGAATTCCAATATAGGTATCAATATCATACACCAGACAAAAAAAAAAAAAAGACAAGTTAGTTGCCTTTAGCTTCTTTGTGCAGCACTCTTGTTCATTCTGTTATGCACCATTTGTAGTGTCATTGGTGATTATATCATTGATGTAGTTGTACAACAAACAATTCAAGAAACCAGCAATTTTATCACCCAAAAAACAAAACAAATGAAGATAAATCCAAAAGTAAGAAAAATGCTATTCATATATAGTATGAACTTATGTTGCTCGAACATTTCAAAATTATTGCCACACCCGCATCAAGATTCTCCAAAATGGACTACTTTAAAGAGTATCTTAAACACTCGTCATCAACATTTTTAAAGAGTCGGAAAAATTATCTCCAAAATGGACCTACTTGAGGAGTATCTAGCACACACTCAATCGACGTTTTTACAGAGTCCAAACAACATAGATATAAACTAAAAGCAGAACAGATAAATTGAAGACTATGAAGAAGCAACAAAATATATACTTTGATTCAAATTTGGAAAAACATGAGGCAAAAACATATATACATACTATATATTTACATAATATATCTGATCTATTAGCTTAGTTCCTGATAGTATTGTACAATATTTTCATCATCCAGTAACAGAAGAAGGGTCACTATTCCTATTGTTATTGTTTGGATGGTGTTGATGATAATCAAGAAGTTCAAGCTCTTTTTGCTTCAACAAAAGTACCATTCTTTCATTCTCCAATTTTTTCCTCTCATTGATTAGTTTATCCCTTTCCATTTCCCTCTCCTTCTTGCTTATAAATTTCTTCCATTTCAATCTTTGCTTTTGGAGTTCAAATGCTTGGCACAAATAGCTAACATGTTGTTCTTCCAATTGTATCATTTTAGTTTTCATCCATTGCATCTTCTCAAGTGGACTCCTCCCTCTATCTTGAACAACATTAGCCAATTCAGTACTCAATTGTTGTACAATTGGTGATGAAGTTCCCAACTTTCTTTGCCTCTTTCTCGATCTTTCATTCATGTCATCGTCCTCCTCTCCGTGGCACTGATGGTCGTGGTCGTGTCCTCTAGCACCAGACACCTCATCATCGTCGTCCTCCTCATCTTCATCCTCATCCTCCTCGTCCTCGTTCTCCTCATCATTTTCCCCACTTGCCCCTTTTGGCATTTTAGGCCCTTCTACTAAACTAGCACCAATTCTTGCATTTGTATTTTCTGATGAATGCAAACACCTTTGTTGCTGCTCTGATTGGTTTTGATGAGTTTGTGGATTAGCAACTCCACTCCCACTAGCACCACCACCACTACCACCATTATGACCACAACTATTATGATAAGCACACATTTCTCTAAAAAACAAGTGCTTAGAATTCAACAACTTCTTCACTTCTTCTTTCATCTTTGGTGATAAATGATCCATTGTTTCAAGCAACTTTTGATTCTCCACAACTCTACAAGAAGTACCTTTACCAAGAATGTCATTAACCCTCTTGTACCTCTTATTCAAGTCATTGAATTTGTCTTCACATTGTTGTGGAGACACATAAAAACCCCTTTCCATCATTGCTCTAGAAACTGATTTCCATTTCCCCTTTTTTTGCAAAACCCCTACAACCCCACCTCCACCCCCACCCCCACCACTACCACTACCACCTTTCTTTTTTCCACTAGAATCATTATTGTTATTCCCTTCAGAACCAACTTCATCACCAATATAATAAACCACCATAATCAACAACCTCACCATGTTATCAGTCCACTTCATTCTTTGCCAAGGGCAAGTTTTATTACCATTCCTTTTTCCATCATCTGTACTATTATTGTCAGCACTAACACCAGGAACAGGTTCATCATCATCACTAAAATTCAAGCTTTGATTTTTAGCCTTGTTGTTACCAAATGGAAACACTTGCCTCAATGTTTGTTGTTGGTTATCAGCATTTTCTTGATGTGCAAATGAAACCATGGGGTGGTGGGGTGGGGGCTGGGGGTGAGGTGGAGGTTGTTGATGCAAGTGATGGTGAGTGTTCTGTTGAGGGATTTGATGATGCAATGACATTTCTAATCCTAACATACCAGGACCCATATTTGAATATAAACTACCAGAATCCATCTAAATGATCAACAAAAATTCAAAATCTTGAAAACCACACAAGGCAAAATCTTATGATAACCACAAAAAATCAAAACTTTCAAAACCCCACAAGGCAAAATCTTATGATAACCACAAAAAATCAAGGCTTTCAAAACCCCACAAGGCAAAATGTTATGATAAGCACAAAATTATAACTTTCACAGGAACATTCATAATCCTATGAGCACAAAATGGTACCAAAAACCAGAGGAAAAAGTAGCTTAAACAACAGAAAACAAAACAACCCTAGATTCTAAAGAGAAAGTTAAGTAAACATCACCAGACTACCAAGACTTCATTTTTCACTGCATAAAGTTTCAATCTTTGAAAAAAAAATGCAGCTAAAACTTCAAGAAAAGCAAACAAGACTTGTTTTTTATGTTTTGGGAACAATTTTGTGAGTGGGGTGGTTTGTTTTTTGAGAAGTGAAAATGAGAGAGAATAGGAAAGTTTATACAAGATTGAGCAGCTGGTTTTTTAAGCTGTGGGAGGATTCTTGGTTTTGTGATTATACAGATAAAAACTGCCCATGGTTTTTCACTTTTCAACAAATTTGTCAGCTAAAACTTTGGTTTTCCTTTTTTTAAAATAAAGTGAAAGAGTCCCACAGAATTTTGCAAACTATCACCTTTTTTTCTATTTATTGTGGTTTTGCTATGTGTTCTGTTTATAGCCATTGGATGTGGATTGTGGATTGTGGAGTGATGATAAGGGATTGTTTGGTAAGAGATGTTTGACCATGAAATTTCTTTTTTTTTTTCAAAGTCGAATTTTGAAAAACACATTTGATTATAATAGAATTTAACTTAACTTTAAGTTGAGTTCAGAATTTTCAAGAATTTGAAAAACAACAAAAGTGCGTTTCACTTCAAATTACTCACAAAAAGTCCGAAATAACTATAATTTTCAAATATCATTTATTCACATTGAAAATAAAAACTATTATTTTTTTTTTCAAATTTTGTTATGAAACATGAACAAACACCCACATAATACAAGCCAAAATGCTCTTTTATACAAGAATTTTCCTTATTTTACTAACCAAACAACCCCTAAGTGAAGAAGGGCAAAATTGTAAACTTAGATTAATTAGGCAGTTTAGAATCTTAAAAAGAAGATTTTAACCTTATTATCATAAAAGGAGATGTACAACTTGTAAGGCAAAAAGTACTAAAACATCTAAGGTAGTGGTTTTATAGTGCCATCCATTTTATATAGGTGGTTTTCTTAGGTGGAGTTTCTAAGGTCTTCCAAGGATCAACTTATGGGACCTACTACATAGAGATAATTTTTTTTTTTTTTTTTTTTTTTGGGAGGGTGGGTGGACTTGGGCTAGTTTAGGTATCCAAGTCTGACTAGGCCCATTATTTTAAAATTTTAAAATCCAAGTTTGCTAAGAGTTCTTTTGTTGAACTTATAATTGGGCCTAAAGTTGATTGTGAATATTGAAACTTTTGAAATTTGTTTTGGAAAAATTATATAACTAGACATATTTTACTACCATATATACATATTTACCTATAATTTTAAAAAATTACATATAATACTATTTTTTAATAATTATACCATATATTTTAAAAAGTTAATCAATAAACAAATCTCTTAAATATGGTATTGGATAATTATCTTAAAATCTAACCTCCTTAATTAATGGAATATTAACAATTCAGATTTTATTATCTCTCACATCACACCAATTTTGCATGCCAACTGTATATCTCTCTCCCCCCCCCACCCCACTCCCTACGTTCGCCATCACTTCTCCATATTCTCTCTTTATGCATCCTCAATCTCTTATCCCAAGTTCATCACCCCATTCTCTTTCTTCATTCTCCCTCGTAGATCTTCTTTACTAAACCATCGAAAAATAAATTGAAAACGGAGCAATACAATCTGATTGTTGAGTAATACAATCTTTCTTGGGTATTTATTTTATACAAATGGTGATGGTGTTTCGTCGTCGAAAAAACAGGAATGAATATTACAACAAATACGGTTAACGGAACACAAGTTATTAGAATGGAGGGAAAAAAAGTTGAAAGACAAGATGCAGAGCCTTATCAGCGTTGGATTCCAGTTCCGGACTTGATGAATTTACAATTGATGTGTAGAGATACAATGTTTGTTAGACGTATCTAAATGTTATATGTATATGACCTTTATTTATGTATCTTCCTTTCTTCTATGTATATATTCTTATTTTATATATTTGTTTATTTATTAAATGTATATGTATTTTCTATTAAATATACATGAGCTATTTTCTATCATATATCTGAGCATATTGTTCTATGTATTTGAGATCTTTATGTTATGATATAGTGTGTTTTCTTTAGTGTATATGAGACGGTTTTGTCATGTATTTGGTCATACTTCAATGAGATTGTTGTAGATCACACTTTTATGAAATTACGACAATCACAAATTCACTGTTAGCGCAGTTAGCGATAATAAAGACCTACCAAAGCCAAAATGCACATTTATCGAATCAAATTCCATTGAAAAGATTAATATCGAATCATTAGATACATACTTCATATACAAAACAAGTTTCAAATACATATTATGTATCAGATATACGTATATAAAGATACACCTAATGAAATACATTTAATGAAACTAGGTACATGAATCATGTACATAGTACAAGATACACATTGTTCTCTAGACATGAATTTTTTTTTTGAAAAAAATAATCTCAAAGCTCAAAGAAATAAATTCAAATTTCTGAAAAAAGTTGTTCACTTTGTTGTTGCTGGAAAAGAAATGGAAGAAATTAGATTATTTTAAAAAAAAATTCTTTTAGCAATTGTTAGAGTAATTATACTCAAAAATTGTTAAAAGAGTGATTTCCTACTTAAATTAAGCATTTGTGATGCAGTAAATCCGTTTAAATTATTAATTATCATTAATTACTCACTTAGTCAAGAAAATAAGTTACACCGTTTTAGTTCAAATTAATACATCATGTATCTCAACTTTTAAAATTGACGGATAATGTATCTGACGAGGATTGATACATGTATTTAAAGGCCGAAATATGATATAGAAAGTAATTTTCTAATCGTGAATCATAGTAATTATAACATAAACTAGTGGGATTTATGTAGCTTGTCCCGTTTTTTTTCATAGGCTTTATATTTTGGTCGCCCCAATTAATTGACTCATCGTGTGTTTTATTTTGTTTGCCCCATTAATCTTCAAAATAAGTAATAAATAACGTAATATTATATATTTATTTGTATATTTTATTTTAAAAAGATCTCAAAACATTAAAGGTATCTTGTATTATCTACCATGGGATAAGTTTTAAAAGGAATATCAAATCTTGTCAGAGACGCAAGCAAAAAATAATAGTAATAATAGAAAAATACAAATACGCAAAATCTGTCTTATTTTAATTTACACAATAATAAATATATTTATATATACATCATAATCGCTGGTTAATAGACAAAATAAAAGTAAATAGAAAATTATAAAATCCTAATTAGATAAGAATGAGTCCTAAGTAGATAACGGTTGTCGATTTTGCCACTCTTTCGATATGGAATTTTTTTTTAAAAATAAAATACCTTTAACTAAAATACGACGATAAAATATATTAAAATTTAAAGGATCGACAAGTGAAATTTAAGGAATGATCTACTATTTCTATTTCAATTTAAGTGACATTTTTTTATTTTTCGAGAGTCAAATAGTTTAAGTTTGACCAAAAATTTGCGCGTGAAATCCTCATTTTTAAAAAATGAAATTTATATATTTGTAACTACGTAAAAAGTACTATAAGTCACAATAATTGATAATTCAAAATAATTAAAAGATCTATGAAAAAATTACGATCAATAATAAACTTATTTGAATTTTAAAATCCGAAAAACGTCACAAAGATTGAGACAAGAGTATAATTTATCATACTAGTATTGAGATATTTTCAAATTCAGATAAAACATCATATGTCTATTGTCATGTCTAGTGATCAAAACATAAGTAGTACTAGATTTTTTTTTAATTTGGGTCATTTAGCATAATCATGACAATAGTCTTTATCATGAGAAAATAACAAATAAAATCGTACACAAACATCTATTAAGTTTTTATTTATTCCATGCATGCATATGGAAACAAATTAAAATGCACGTCTCCTCGACTTTAAGTTCTTATCCTTAATTAATTAGACGTTAGGTGTATTACGTGTGAAATTATACTGATATATTATTATTATTGAATTAGATAACATCAAACTAAATTAACGTATCATAACATAATATAATATACATATATTATCCATTGGGTTTAATCAATGTATTACATTTCACGTATGGCAGCATAACAAAATTTAACGTATCTTTATAAAAAGAACTTATATTGATAGGGAAATAACATATTGTACCATCATTTCATTATAACTTATCATGAATATCTAACTAAATGACTTGTTACCACCATTTGAAGCATAGTTTTCTTGTTTTAATCGTCTTTTTACATCAATTCATTAGAAGTCTTCAATATGAGTTCAGATATTAAAACTGAAGCGAATAAATTATGTTTTCCTCACTATCAAACAAAGAGTATAGGCAATATATACGGAATGATATATTGGGCGGGTATTCGAAAGAACTTAATAATTTGATCGAAATCACGTCTAAGCTAAAATTCAAAATTTATATACTTATTATGAATTTGTGCGCCTCTAAAATATGGCTCAGGACTACCACAAGTTATATTGTGGGAATTGTATTAATATCCTTCATTATTATTATAGATATCGAATTTGAGGAATAGAAATAAAATGTTTTTAGTAAAAAATATATATTTTAATAAAAAAATAAAATAACCCAATATAATTTTGGATCAATCAAATCTCAAAATAGTTATCAAATAAAAACAAGAGAGTAGATATATATTCTTACCAAGAAATTATATATTCCTCTTTTCAAATCTCACATTATTTCAAACTGGATAATCATAATATCTACAATCAAAAATCATATTGAAGATCGAATTTCGGATACATAATCATTATTATAACTAGGATGAAAAATTTCAGTTTGACAGCTCTCATTTTAAAACATATATACTATGTCAAATTAAATTAGTAAGTTTGATCATTTTAAGTCGAGAATATGGTCAAATGCCCTCTTAAGCTATGATCGAATTCTCAACTACACACTTATTCTTTACGGGAGTCCTATCACCCCCTATACTTTTTAAAATTTAAATTTTTAGCCCCCTAAAAAAGTCACAACCACATTTATATTGGCAGGTGATGTGCACGCGTTTGACAGCTGGAAATTTTATTTAAAACTTTTTATTTTATTTTTTCTCTTTTTAATTTATTGTTCTAAAAAATATGTTGAAGGTCAAAAGGT